TCATTACTTTTTTGCCATGTGGTCTTCCCATGTATATTTAATATTTTGACATGTCATCATATTGTTGTGAATTAACAGGACACGTCATGAGATTTTTAACAAAAAAACCAAGTTGGGACCAAAATAATAAATAATAAGGACTAAATCAAGGATTTTTTGAGTTGAGGGACTTAATCCCTCAATCTAGGCTCTATATAATAGTTGAGGGACTCAAAAGGAGATTTAACCCTCAATATTTTTTTGTATTAGGCTCTCATGTTTTCTATTATTTATAGAAAATTACTCCTTTCTCTTTTCTGACACCTTCGGACCCAAAACAAATTAAGATGAGTAACTGAAATAATTAAATATATATCAAGGCAATGGTTTATATTTTAATATAGATAAAAGAGAACAATATAATTATAATATTATGTAAAATTATAATTTTTTTTTAAATTTCTCAATATTCAAGAGCTATATTAAATTTTAATTAATTTAAAATTGAATTGCATTAGATCTTATAAGAGAAGAAAATCTCTTAAAATATATTTTTATATTCATAAAATTTAAACTGAATATTTTATTTAAAAGAGAGTTTATTCCTTTTATTTGAATTAATAAATTATTGGTAAGATTATAAATTTATAATTTAGATGTATTATTAAATAAGTGAATTTATCTAATATTATAGATAAATTTTAAATAAAAAAAATTAATCATAAGAGTTATGTTAAGATTATAAGTTTATAATTTTATATGACATAAGCAAATATATCATTTTCAATAAACAAATAGACAAATGTAAAACATAGTCAAGTAGCAATTGGATTCTTGTGTATGGTAGTTTTCATGTATGTATCTTTTATTTTCAATAATTTTAATTAGAGAAAAATAAAAATAAAAATATCTTAATATTTAAAATATCAAAATTTTTAATAAAATTATTTAAAAATTCTTAATAAAAAGATATTTATAGTAAATAATTTTATAAGAAATTTTATCATTTTAATTGTTCAGTACAATGTTTTGATCTTTTTTATAATTTTTTAATTAATATTTTATATATTTTTATGATATATTGAAAGAAAAAAAAAATTCCAAATCCACAATATATTACAGCACAACAAACTCAACACTAGATAATCAAGTTAAAAAAAAAAAAAAAAAAAGAAGAAGAAGAAGAAGAGAAAGGCAGTAGCTCGACAAATCGGACGAAAAAACCACAAAATTATCTAGATAATTAACGAAAAACCACACAATGTCCACCAAGGTGGAAGTATCAAAGAGGGAAAAAGGAGCACCTACGTCTTTCTTCTTTCACACACATCATCACCAACAACCTTCTCATCATGGATCACCACCAAAGCAACACGTTTGAAAGGCGCACCCCATTACTGTATGGTCCAGTTGTTCAAAAGCCGCAGTATTGGCTACAATAAAATAATGCTTATCATTAGTTTATATATGAAGAATCAATTTAAATAATTTTAATGTTTGACAAAAATGAAGTTAATTAATTAAAGAGGATACATACTATTCATTTCTTCGTGTATTGAATTGACCAATCATTTGGAAGTCCGTATCAAAGCAGCATCTTGGGACTGAGGACATGTTTAAGGATTCAAGTATGGTGTCTTCATCTTCCATTATAGCCTCATTCACCAGAATTTTCACCTCCTGCAAATTTTGCAGCTTCACCTTTTTTGACTCCTCTACATTGATTGTATTTCCCACCATTTTCATAGAAAGCACAGCAAGTTGTTTCAAGTTTGCTAGATCTCCAATGCTGAACTCTTCAGGATCGTTACGATCAACTCTCACAATGAGCCCTACTAATTGTGTAAGACGAGTTAATCTGCTAACTCCCTTCGGGTAGCAAGTTAAATTGGAGCATGCTTTAGTATCAAGAACCATCAAGTTGACTAGATTTCCCATCTCATCTGGCAATCTTTCTAAATTAAGACACCAGCTCAGAACTAAAAATTGCAAGTTGTGTAATCTACAAAGTGCTTTAGGCAACCTTTTAAGATGAAGGTTATTTGGCAAGTAAAGGCATCTTAAATGCAACAAGTTCCCTATTTCTTCTGGAATAGTTGAAGCAGGGCATAATATGGTCAATGCTCTTAAGCGACGGGCTTTATTAAGCAAATTACATAAGCCCCCACCATTGATAACACCCCCCTTACTATAATCATAAGCAACAATATGGAGACTTCGCAATTTTTCTACATCAGAAATGGATTCAGGAAAACAGAGGATCCTTTCAATCCTTGCTACCAAATACCGACAAGTTCTTTCTGAGTTCATCTTCATGCTTTTATCACTTTCGGAGACCACCTCTTCCAGAAATTCGCCCCTTGACAAAAAAAGAGCAAATTCATGTACCAAATCATGCATCCTACATTCAGCATATTGACCAAAGAAATGGTGAGAATCTTCAATTTGGAGGAAAGAGCGATCCCCTAAGCACTTTAAGTACTCAAAGCCTTTCAGTTCCCATAAAGAATCATCACCATCATTAAAGCCTAAGTAACCTTGTGTCTTCCATTCTGTAATTAATTGACAAGTAAAATAAGCATGATCGTCTTTAATAAGGGAAGCACAATACTTAAAGCATTGTTTTACTGGTGATGGTAGATCATAATAACTCAACAATAGAGGAACAAAAACATCTTTATGTACCACATCCATCCTCCATAACTCACTATTCAAGACATTCTCCCATTCTTTTCTGGTAGTTTTAAACTGTAAATAACCTCCCAGAGTCTTTGCAACAAGTGGCAGACCTTTGCATTTCTCTGCAATTCTCAACCCAATAGGAGTTAAATCTTCACAAGTCTTTTGGTCCCTTTCTCTTAGTGCTATTTTCTTAAGAATGGACCAGCATAAGCCTTGGCTCAAAGTTTCTAAATGAAAGGTGTGAGAACTCCTCATAACTCTTGAAACAGCATCGTTACGAGTAGTCACCAGAATTCTACTTCCCGCAGCACCACGTTTGAAAGTGACATTCAGTCCTCCAAAGTCTTCATCATTTTCTGTCCATACATCATCTAGGACAAGAAGGTATTTCTTTCCTTCTATGGACTTGCAAATTCTTTCTAAAAGTGCATTCAATGGAACTGACTCCATTTGGAGGGTTGTTACTTTATCTAGGCCTTCAAGTTCTGCAATGATCGTTTTTGCCAATTTACTCTCATCGAAAATGTCTGAAACATATACCCAAATTCTGCTAGTGAAATGTTGTTTAACTTCTTCATCATTGTAGATCAGTTGGGCAAGAGCAGTCTTACCAATACCTCCCAACCCTACCATAGAGATGGTTTGACAGCTCTCTCCTTCTTTGCTAGTTCCACACAGCAAATGACCAATTATTTCTTTCTTTACCTCATCCCTACCAACGAAGTTTGACCCATCAATAAAACTCGTGCTTTCTTTTCGTTTTGGCAGTCTACTAGGTGTATCTGTTAACTGATACCTTACTCTATCATTAGCAATCTCATCTAACCTCTCATTAATTTCTTTTATGTTGCGAGCAATGCCATGGTAACTATAAACCCGACGAAAAGAAAAGCATCGGAGGAAAAGGCATACCTTCCTCTGAAGAAAAGAAGCATTTTCAGCTCCATTAGTTGGTCGATACAGAAGTACGGTTCTCCACTCATCTAGAGCATCCTCCATGTCAAGAGACTCTTCTTGCAGCCGATCTAACCATAACTGGATAGTTTTGTCTGATATTTGCTTTTGGTCAGCATCTTCAAGTAAAGCTTTGATGGATGTGAGATTCAATTTGAGCTTTCTCAGATCTTGCTTTACACCCTTCAGAAGTCTCACTTCCTCTAGTGCTCCTTCACAGATGATTGTTGTTATCTGCTGTAAGAGAGTGGAAACAAGTGCTTCTGCCATTTTTTTGCAGACAAGTTTGAGCAAATGAGATTGAAAAAGAAATGGTTATCGATGATGGGCCTTGCAATTGCCATTGATGATGCGAATTTACTATACTTTAGCATTTAGGCGTGCTTGGGTTGGGTATAACGCCACTAATAAAGTTTTACTAAAAAAATAGTTTAGAAATTAAAGAAAACTGTCTTACAGAGTACGTTATACGCGGTTTATTTTATAAAATTATTTAAATGTTTTTAAAATTATTTTTATACTATTCTTTTAAAAATATTTAATTAATTTTATAAAATAAATTACATGTCGTTTTTTTGTAAAATTATTTTCTATTATTTTTTCAAGAACATTTAATTAATTTTACAATATAAACTGGATACAATCTATCTTGTAAAACAATTTTTTTAGAAATATTATATAAAATGTTAAAAAATGTCATAAAACTGTTTTTCAGTACAGACTGTAAAAAAATTACAGTCCGCACTCCGAAAACGACGTCGTTTTTATATATATATATATCTGGAACAACGCCCTTTACCTCTTAATCTCTTCGCTGTCATAATCCTCTTCATTGTTCGAATCCGATAGGCTGGATACCTCTTCTCCAACACAATTGCTCTTCTTCCAGTCGATCGCTCAAAGATTTCTTCTCGACGGTGTTCTCCCACCTGTTCAGTATCAAAGAGCGCCTAGGGTTCGATTTGTAAATGAAGGTGGGACAGGGAATCCTGGTGGGGTTTGTACAGTATCTTTTTCCTCTTGAGAAGGAGATTGCTGTGGTTTACATGTATGAAATTAGCTTGAGCCTCTCTTAGGTTCAAGGGAAAGGACTTGGAAAGTTCTTGATGCAGTTAATTGATTGAACCAATACACACCACTCCAATCAAGGAAAAGAAGCAAATCTTCAATATCAACGATTCAAATAATAAAGATTCCGTGTTCCAATGTACCTTCCCGACTTTGGAAGACCATGTCGCTGAAGACCCATTACTAAAATCTCCTAATTTGTTCAGAGAATCAATAAGTTCGTCGGCGTTTTGCTTGTTGGACTCGGAGATGCAACTCAAGTCCAAGCACTCAAGATCCATGGATTTGACTATCTGCATGACCTTGCGAGGAACTTGAAGATCGGAAATTGTTTTGACCTTCTGGTTTTTGCTTTGGGTGATTTAATTGGTTTAATTAATAAAATTACCGGTTAATATAAAGAGTTTGTTTTTTTTTTTTTGACCAAGTTTTACAAGGGTGGGTTTGGAACCTATCATGGAAAGGGGTAATGTATCTGTAAAGATAGTCCGAAAGTCACTTGACTCGAGGAATTAGGTGCATATAAAGAGTTTGTTTACTCTATACATTTAAAGCAAAAGAAATAAGAGTAATGATTGAATAATAATTGTAATATTTTTTAAAAAAATATAAAATTTTAAATTAAAAAAATTATTTTTATTTTTATTTTAAAACAAACAAATAACAATTTAATATATGATATCTACAATTACAATTAAAATTAATTTTATTATTTTAAAAATAAAAATTATAATTATTAATTAATAATTATTTAAACATTACTTCTTATATTATATCTTAAAAAGTACATATAAATAAATCATAACATAAATAAATTCACTCCATCTGGCTTAATTTGTAGAATTTTATTTAGAATAAATAAATTTTAAAATATAAACAAACTATGATGCGTATCCAGTGGGGCAACTCTTATCCTAAAATTAAAGAGCTTGGGGGGTTTGATACTCTTGGAAGCCAAAACGCTTCAAAGTTGCAAGTTCGAACTCCATGGGTGACATATTTTCGGACTTCTTATCCACAAGAATTATATTGTCCGGTCAAACGATTTTGGAGCAAAAAATTAAAAATAGCAAACTTTAAAGTGAAATTTGAAAATATTATTGTATCAACAATCAACTAATTATTTACATAAAAACAAATGATCATGAATCTGTTTGCTATTCTTAACAAGTGCTAAATAAACAATCTCATTATTTATTAGAAAAAAAAATTGTACAATTAAAATATTGTATAATACTGTAATCGTAAATTACACATAGTCATGTTTACAAAAGAGAAAAACGGGAATGCATGAATTATCAATCCAAAACATATATAAACAGAAAATTTGTTGCCGGAGAACAAGCTACGGTCGTGTTTTTACACCATGAGTAGGGAGCTGCAATTCCGCCGCTAGCTTCCCATTGCCGCCATCATCTCCCGGGGTAGATTTGTAATGGCATGCATACAGAATTAGCTGTATCGTTCCAAAAACTGCTCCAAAACCATTCCCAATCTACACAGATGAAGTAAACATCATTTGCTTTTATCATTAATTACCATAATAATAATCCCTATAATGTGCTTGACTTGTGAAATAAATACATTTAATAGTCGCATTACTAATAATTTTGGAGGAATCATTTTTGCGAACTAAACATATCATAAGATTATCAGTTTAAAGAAAAATAAAATGAATCATTAAGATTTTTACCAAAATATAAAGATTGAAACGAATTAAGGTATATGCTACCTATATAACTCCATTAAGAAAGTTGGCAAGT